TCCCCTCCCCCGCTCACCTCTCCTCTCGGGGTCCCCGGGGGGGTTCGGGGGGGGCTCGGGGGGGTCCCCGGGGGGGTCCCCGGGGGGCGGGGCCGCCCCTCCCCCACCCCCGGCCCCTCCCCCCCCGTCGCCGTCGCAGCGACGCAGGAGGGCCTGGACCTCGGCGTCCAGCTGGGGAGGAAAGGGTTAAAAACGGCCCAAAATTGCCCGAAATTACCCCAAAAATCCACCCAAAACTGACCCGAATCATCCGGGGAGGAAAGGGTTAAAAGTTACCCCAAAAATCCCCAAAATTACCCCAAAAAATGACCCAAAACTGACCCGAATCATCCGGGGAGGAAAGGGTTAAAAACGGCCCCAAAATGCCCAAAATTACCCCAAAAATCCACCCAAAACTGACCCGAATCATCCGGGGAGGAAAGGGTTAAAAACGGCCCCAAAATGCCCAAAATTACCCAAAAAATCCACCCAAAACTGACCCGAACCAGCTGGGGAGGAAAGGGTTAAAAATGGCCCAAAATTGCCCCAAATCAGCCCAAAAATCCACCCAAAACTGACCCGAACCAGCTGGGGAGGAAAGGGTTAAAAATGGCCCAAAAATGCCCAAAATCGACCCAAAAATCCCCAAAATTACCCCAACATCTAACCCAAAATCCACTCGAATCCAACTGGGGAGGAAAGGGTTAAAAATTGCCCAAAAATCCCCAAAATCACCCCAAAAATCCACCCAAAACTGACCCGAATCATCCGGGGAGGAAAGGGTTAAAAATGACCCCAAAATACCCGAAATCGACCCAAAAATCCACCCAAAATGCCCCAAAAATCCCCAAAATTACCCCAAAAATCCACCCAAAAATCCCCAAAATTACCCCAATATCTAACCCAAAATCCACTTGAGTCCAACTGGGGAGGAAAGGGTTAAAAATGACCCAAAAATCCCCAAATTTACCCCAAAAATCCCCAAAATTACCCCAAAAAATGACCCAAAACTGATCCGAATCAGCTGGGAAGGAAAGGGTTAAAAATGACCCAAAAATGCCCGAAATTACCTCAAAAATCCACCCAAAATTACCCCAAAAATCCCCAAAATTCCCCCAAAAATGACCCAAAACTGACCCGAACCAGCTGGGGAGGAAAGGGTTAAAAATTACCCAAAAATGCCCAAAATCGACCCAAAAATCCACCCAAAAATCTACCCAAAAATCCCCAAAATTACCCCAATATCTAACCCAAAATCCACTTGAGTCCAACTGGGGAGGAAAGGGTTAAAAATTGCCCAAAAATCCCCAAATTTACCCCAAAAATCCCCAAAATTACCCCAAAAAATGACCCAAAACTGACCCGAATCATCCGGGGAGGAAAGGGTTAAAAAGGGCCCCAAAATTACCCCAAAAATCCACCCAAAACTGACCCGAATCATCTGGGGAGGAAAGGGTTAAAAATGGGCCCAAAATGCCCAAAATTACCCGAAAAATGACCCAAAACTGACCTGAACCAGCTGGGGAGGAAAGGGTTAAAAGTTAACCCAAAATGCCACAAATTGAACCCAAAAAATCCACCCAAAACTGACCCGAATCATCCAGGGAGGAAAGGGTTAAAAGTTACCCAAAAATGCCCAAAATCCACCCAAAAATCCCCCCAAAAATCCCCAAAATTACCCCAAAAATCCCCAAATTTACCCCAAAAATCCCCCAAATTACCCCAAAAACCAACCCAAAATTGGTCCCAAAAAATCCCAAAATTGGATTAAAAAAACCCCCAAAATTGGACCCAAAAAACCCTAAAATTGGATCCAAAAAATCCCAAAATTGGTCCCAAAAAATCCCAAAATTGAACCCAAAAAATCCCAAAATTGAACCCAAAAATCTCAAAATTGGACCCCAAAAAAACCCCAAAATTGGACCCAAAAATTGCCAAAATTTGACCCAAAAAGTCCCAAAATTGTTCCCCAAAAAATCCCAAAATCAAACCCAAAAAATCCCAAAATCGGACCCAAAAATTGCCAAAATTGAACCAAAAAATCCCAAAATTGGACCCCAAAAAAATCCCAAAATTGGACCCAAAAATTGCCAAAATTTGACCCAAAAAATCCCAAAATTGAACCCAAAAAATCCCAAAATCGGACCCAAAAAATCCTCAAAATTACCCCAAAAAGTCCCAAAATCGGAACGAAAAAATCCCAAAATTTGACCCAAAAAATCCCAAAATTGG